ATTATGTAACATACTTATATTTGGGATTAATAAAGCACTTAGATTTATATGTGCCGGTATTCTTTAAGCAACTGAATCTGAAATCGAAAATTTTTATTTATCCGCTTTGATAGTCCAAATCTGCAATCGTTGATGAAATGATTTCTTTAAACACCAAGTTATTGGAGTATTAGCGAATTAACAAATATAAAGTCAAGTAAAAACATATAGTACTTACAGGTCTTCATGAAAAAATTATCATATAAGAATAATGTTAATGTATTATTTCTTTAGCCATATGCAGTTTATCTGCCTAACGCAATTGAATAAAACTTTAGATATTCTCGTTTCCTCTATAATAATATCCGTTGCTATCTATATATGTGGCACCTGTAAATTTTCAAACAATACTTTTACAATCAGTTGCTTAAGTTTTAAAGGTATCATCGGTGATTCGCATAATACGACTTTGCACTGTTTAGGATCTGTTAATAGATACCTGAAATAAATCTCTCTTAAATAATGTGCCAAATGATCATATAGAGCATCCAATTCATCGGGACACTTTCTGATTTCTAAGTCGTATAATTCAGCAAACTCGCCAATGATTCTACAGCCTTCTCCACAAGCTTTCACAACGCCTCCACTTCTATTAAAATCTGAATCCCAATAGATTTTCATATTGCCAGCAAACACAAGAACAATGTGTCTTGGCCTAGATTCACCACGAGGTAGAAGGAATGACTCGACTTAGGAGCATAGCAGAAGCTATTGTTCGTGCTTGCAATCCGTCAGTTATTCTATACTGTTAAGGTTATTGATCTTACCATAAGCCACCGTATACAAGGCCCCTACAATAGTAGACCATCAGTGGTAACATTTTTTCATAACTCACAATAACTTACCGGTGGCTTACTGTTACCAGAAAATTTTATGAATTACTGTAATTTTACAACCCTGGGTACATGCATTACAGAATGGGCCGGGATAAACTTGGTCCAGGCAGGGTTTGGTATATTTATATTAGAAAATATTTGAACTTTAATTTATTAATACTCTAAAAATTATAAATTGCTTGCTTACCATTGTGAACCCATAGTATATAAGAATTTAAGCTAAGAATATAAATTATAAGAATTTGTTAATTTACTATTCTGTAGTAGAGTATAATTAAAGTTCAATATAAAAAAACCTTTCCAAAACCTTTGAAGCTAATCTTTGTAGAGTTTGTAAATTTATTATATTCGAGTAAATCTATATTGAAAATAGCTTCTTTGGATCGTTTTGCTGGTGTATTTAATTTTCTAATTACAATCTTGGTTCAATATACGCTTGTATGCTTTATATATAACATAGTATTAAATCAGTTAAGTATGTATGCGCATACTTATATATGTTGTAAATAGCTCTAGATATTGCTCATTATTTGCTGCAATCGTTAGGTTGTTAATGAAGCACTCCGTTGACTCAAGAGATCGTAGCTTTATTTTACAATTTGTTATATTAGTATTCTAAATGTCAAATGATCATCCCAACCCTGACTAGTTGGGAATAGTACCCCAAAATTTTGGGGTACAACTCAAATCAGCCGATATGCGTTGCTTGATAATTTCTACCTCTAGTTCTTCTATCATTGTAAGGCTTCTTAATTTGCATTCTCTTATTTTTGATCTATTAATTTCTGTCTTGTCTATTATTGGTCTATTACTATCTTAATTTGATTGCTATCCTTACTTATTAATCTATCTGGAATTATGTAAATGTTTCTGTTTAATCTTATTTATTGCTAACAACTGTTTTCTATTTGTTCTTCTTTACTTATACATCCTTCACATCTGTTGATTTTAGTTGTTACTTTATTCTTTTTACACTTTATTTGCCAGTGTTTAATTAGTGCCTTTTTCTTTTTCTTTTTTATCATCTTTCCGAGCTGTCTGTGGTCCTGTGTGCCATATACTATTTACTTTTTTCTTCTTTTGTCTTCTGATATATGTTCTCATTTGACTTGCATTGCCTGAGTATTTTGTTTACCTGTTCTATAGTATCTTTGCACTACTCTACTCTCTGGGCTGCTAAGCATTTTTGATTCAATTGCTTTGATCCATTCTGCTTTTTTTCCTTTACTTAATTGGTCTTAATAGCCTTTTAGTTGCTGCTATGTGATTAGTTTTTCTCTCTTTGCATTGAGTAGTTGGTTCAGATATATTAGACCAGATTCATTTACTCTAACTGCTTCTTTTTTCTACAATTGTGTGTCTACTAATTCTTGTATTTTAGTATCATACCCAATCATTGTCCATAGTTCGCTTTCTGTTTTAATATTTATTTTTAATTTTCTTGCTTTGAGTATTGTAAGGCATGCTAAATTGTTCTTGAAGTATGTTTCAATTTTTGTCTGTTCTTCTGTCTTTCATATGTCTTTCATTAAACCTGCTCTTTGACAGCCTTGTATTATTCTTAGTCTCATTAGTTATCTGAGGCTGTCTTGTCTGTTCAGTCTCACCAGAAGGCCACTCACTTGTTTCATAATTATCTCTTGTCACAATGTCCTACAGCTGCCAAGATCTTTGTGTTCCATTATACAGTTTTCTACTATTCTTTGCAGGCTGCTCTTTTGTTTTGCCAGATTTATTATTGGTTGATGTATTTCATTTAGGCTTCTGTTTAACATCTTTGTTAGCTGCAGCATATAGCTTAGTTTGGATATTATTACCATATTGTTTATATATGTAATTTGACTTATTGTCATTTTTTTGTACTTTAGATTTCTTATAGTTTGGTTTACTATTCTTTTTGCCTTTTTTTTTACTTGTGTCTCTTGCATTCTGTTGTTTAACCATATTCCTAATAAATAGACTATTTTTTGTCTTGGTTCTTCTATTATTTTGCTTTTCCTATATATTACTGCTCTTTCTTTTTTTTAGACTTTCATGTTCATTATTATTAATTTTGACTTTGATCTATTTATCTCTATATCATTCATTTTAAAAAACTCTTTTGCTATTTCTAAGATTTCCAATAATTGCTTTTTATTGCTTGCAATCCATATTGTATCATCTGCATATGCAATTGCAGCTTGACAATATTTTGTAATATTGTTGCATTGCATATCTTTTTGCAACTGTTGCTTAACTGTATATTCTAAACTTTCTTCTTCTTGGATTCTCTCTAATAATGGATTATAGAAGAGATGCCATATTAATAGTAAAATTATTTCACCTTGGTCTATTTTATCTCCTGCTGTTAATTCTTCTGTCAGACCATAGGTTGTAATTATTCTTAATTGTCTCTTGTGAAAAAGATTCAGTATATATTTGATTGTTTTTTTAGGTATTTTAACTCTTTGCAATACTAGTTCAAGGCTTTCAAGAGGAACTGAGTCAAATGTCTTTTTCATGTCCTGCAGCAGTATTCATATTTCTTTATCTTTTTCTTTTGCTTCTTTCATTATCATGTTTAAAATTTGTATTGGTTGCTCTGTTGAGTTTCCTGGAAGGCCTGCAAAATTTGGTTCTCTAAGTATTTCTCTTTCTATAAATACTTTGGCAAACCTTTTCATTACCATCTTTGTTATAATTTTTCTGAACATTTCAATTAGTGCTATCGAGCAGATGTTGTTTAAGCTATATCTCTATTCTACATCTTTTGGTATCAGGTAAACTTGTGCTATCTTCTACTTTATTGAAATTTCTCCTACTTCTAAACATAAGTTTGTGAAGCTTCTAAAGACTTTTCTTAATCAATATATAGCTTATATCTGAGATCTCTGGAGCTGTTCCTGTCTTTAACTCTTTCAGTACTTCTTTCTATTCTTTTTCTTTAATTTTTCTTTCGACTTCTATATACCATTCCTTTTTGATGCTTTTTTTTGGTTCATATATTTCTTTCTACTTTTCTGTTATTGCTTCAAACTTGGTGTTTCTTTTTCTAAACTGTATTTTATAATGTTCTGCTATATTTGTCTTTACCTCTTCTGGTTTTGTTATTAGATATATCTCCTCTTCTTCTTGCTTGATAAGCCTATTAAGCATTATCTTTTTATACTGTTTATTTAAAAGACTGGCAAGCATTTTTTCTTGGTTCATTTTAATTATTTTATATCTTTTATCTATATTCTCTTCTATTTGTCTCCTTTGTGCTTGTTCCTAGTCTTTCTTCTTTTTTTTTTTATAGAAGCTTTTGCCATTCTTTTATATCTTCTATCCAGACATGTAACCAATTCCTTTGTAGTTTTGGCAGTTTTGCACCTATCTTGTTATCTAGTACTTTTAATTGTTTATTTGTTCTGCTTCTTTCTTCTTCTGTTACTTCTTGGTTTTTTCTTATCTTTGCATATTTAATTAATCTTTGTAGCTTTACAATATCTTTTTCTCGTTGTTGTATTTTCTGACTGGTTTTTCTATTTGTCATTGTGTTGTATATTTTTTTTTTGGGTATATGCTTATTGGCTGCTATAATAATTGCTTCTTCTATGATATCCCATATACTATTTATTTTGTCTGTATATTTTTCTATATCTTGCACCTTTGTTTGGATGTTTTTTAGACTTTCTTTTATTTCTAATTGCTTTTGTAGCTCCTGCGTATAATTTTTCCAATTATCTGGTTTTGTCTGATTATATAGATATAGTGTTCTTAATTGTCCTTTTCTTTTAACCTCTGCTTTACTGTTTCTTTCTATCATATGTTTAACCTATATTTCTGCAATTATAATTTTATGATCACTCTTCATGATTTCTTCTATTTTCTTCATGTTTGCCCTTTGCAAACCCAATGCCAATTCTTTTGATATCCAAATTAGTCAATTCTTGTTGCAGCTTCTTTGTTTGACCATATGTACTCTTGGCTTGTTGGATGCATATTTTTATATGTATCTATAAAGTCTTGTTTTCTCATTTAATTAATGATTGGCAGTCTTTTATAGTTTGCTAACTGTGGATGTTGTCTGTTTAATTTATTGTTTGCTGTATGATTGAAGTCACCCATAATCACAAATTGTGTTTGTCTTTTCTGTTTAGTAACCATCTCTACAATCTTTTGTTAGATGTTTTTCTCTATTGTCTTGTTATTTGATGATATATAGACTTCTATCACTATTAACTCCAGTTGCTTGAAGTATAAAGTGATTTCTATTATATATTCACTTATTCTCCTAACTGCAGCCACATGCTTTTTCCATTGTTGTTCTATTAGGATTCCCACACCTGATCATTTTTTCTTATCCTCTGCTGCATTTGTTCAGTACCCTGTATAGTTTTTGTTTAATGCATGCATTAAAATCTTTCTTTCTTTTTCAGTAATGTTTGTTTCTATAACTCCTAATATTGCAATTTCCTTCTCTTTTACCCAGCCGAGCAGATTTTCAAGCTTTCATCTATTAGTTTTTAGACTGTTAATGTTATGACATACTATTTTAATCTCTTTTTTTCCTTGTTTTCATTTCTCTCTTAATTAGTCTTGTTTTGTTCTTGTGTTTTCTACTTTCTCTTTTTCTTTTCTAGGTTCTTTTTTTTTTGGTGAAGAGTTGTTGTACTTTTCTCATATATTTCTCTTTTTCTTTGTAGAAAACCTTCAATCTTCTCATCAATTTCATTAGTTCAACTGAGATGCTTTAAGAGTGATCAGCTGGGCCATCTCTTGTCTCTAGCTGTATTTTTCCTATTGTTTTGTCTTGTTGAACTT